GTTCTGCGTCTTTTTCTATCTAATAAAGATTTCGTATTATTACCTCTTTGTCTGGTAAAATAGATAGGTCTATTATGGTACATGAAAGTTATTTGAAAACAAATTATGGTACATATGACAGTTCTTTTATTGTGACGTGCTGTCCGCTGACGTGAGTGAGAGTGAGATAGAAAAGAACGTCAGTGCCACTGCGGCCAAAATATCATCTGTTTGAATCTTAACCCGCAAAGTGTAAAGAATCTGAAAATCTATATAAAAACATTACAGAGCTCTACTTTACCATAGCCTCTTTAATTAAAATGGCCGACTACCAAAAATTCAAAAAATGGCATCCATCTTGGATGACCGTTGACAGTCCAGCGCCTACTTGGATAATACGCGAATTTCAAACCAGTGAAGTCGTGCCTCAAGCCTAAAAATTATCTAAGGGCTAGTCGGTCATTGAGGCTTCCTCACACCTGACATGATTAACTTATCAAATAGGGTTGCCAGATTTTCAAAATTGAAAATGAGGAGATAGTGAATGGGAGGGGAAAAATGTTTCGCGAAATTTTGTTTGAGATGCCACGCCCTACTTTTGTCACATATTATCATATACAGAGTGTACGAAAAGTAATGGGATGCTCCATTATCTCTGAAACCAGTGGTGCAATTTGAACAAAACCTTATTTAGGACAAATTCAAAAAATTGTATCGACGTTGTTGCCAGACTTATCAATAATAGTTATTACAAGAGCAAAAGTTTTGTCGGCACTGGACTGGACTAGACAACTTACTTACTTGGACCAAGTAAGTTGGCAGCCAGCCTACTTACTTGGATGTTTTTACATTTTACAAAGCTCTACTTTACTGCAGCCTCTTTACTTAAAATGGCCGACTACCAAAAATTGAAAAATGGCATCCATCTTGAATAATCATTGACATTTCAGCGCCTACTTGGATAATACGCAAACTTTAAACCGGTGAAGTCGTGCCTTGAGCCTAGAAATTATCTAAAGAACATCGAAAAAACTTGATTATGTGAATCTCTGTATTATTGAACGCAGTTCAGCTTTATTTTTTTGAATGTTAACCCACAGTCTAAATATTATGAAAATCTATATAAAAACATCACAGAGCTCGTCTTTACCGTGGCCTCTTCACTTAAAATGGCCAACTACCTAAAATTCAAAAATCGGCATCCATCTTGAATGACCGTTGACAGTCCAGCGCGTACTTGAATGATACGCGAACTTCAAACCAGCGAAGTCGTGCCTCAAGCCTGAAAATTATCTAAGAGCCAAATTTATAGTCGGTCATTGAAGTATCCTCACACCTAAAGAAACCTTGGACGTTTAGAATTGACACGACTAACTTATCAAATAGTAGAAAGTGTCCATTCTAAACTCGCGATTCCAAGGAACGACTATAAATTTGGCCCTATAAAACATCAAATTACGTGAATCTCTGTAATTATCGAACGCAGTTCAGCTTCGAGATATCATTTTTTTGAATGTCAATATGAAAATCTATAGAAAATCATGACAGAGCTCTACTTTACCGTGGCCTCTTCACTTAAAATGGCCGACTACCAAAAATTGAAAAATGGCATCCATCTTGAATGACCGTTGACAGTCTAGCGCCTACTTGGATAATACGCAAACTTTAAACCGGTGAAGTCGTGCCTTGAGCCTAGAAATTATCTAAAGAACATCGAAAAAACTTGATTATGTGAATCTCTGCATTATTGAACGCAGTTCAGCTTTATTTTTTTGAATGTTAACCCACAGTCTAAATATTATGAAAATCTATATAAAAACATCACAGAGCTCGTCTTTACCGTGGCCTCTTCACTTAAAATGGCCAACTACCTAAAATTCAAAAATCGGCATCCATCTTGAATGACCGTTGACAGTCCAGCGCGTACTTGAATGATACGCGAACTTCAAACCAGCGAAGTCGTGCCTCAAGCCTGAAAATTATCTAAGAGCCAAATTTATAGTCGGTCATTGAAGTATCCTCACACCTAAAGAAACCTTGGACGTTTAGAATTGACACGACTAACTTATCAAATAGTAGAAAGTGTCCATTCTAAACTCGCGACTCCAAGGAACGACTATAAATTTGGCCCTATAAAACATCAAATTACGTGAATCTCTGTAATTATCGAACGCAGTTCAGCTTCGAGATATGAAAATCTATAGAAAATCATGACAGAGCTCTACTTTACCGTGGCCTCTTCACTTAAAATGGCCGACTACCAAAAATTGAAAAATGGCATCCATCTTGAATGACCGTTGACAGTCTAGCGCCTACTTGTATAATACGTGAACTAAAAACCAGTAAAGTCGTGTCTCGAGCCTAGAAATTATCCAAGGAACATCAAGGAAATAATTAAGTAAATCTTTATTATTATCGAACGCAGTTTAGCTTCGAGATATAATTTTTTTGAATCTCAACCCACAGTCTAAAGATTGTGAAAATCTATATAGAAACATTACATAGCTCTACTTTATCGTGGGCCTCTTCACTTGAAATGGCCGACTATCAAAAATTCATAAATGGCATCCATCTTAAATGACCATTGACAGTACAGCAGATAGGTCTCAATTGGTGATAATTGGCAAACAGGTCTCAGAGGCCACTCACCTTAATAGAGGTGTTGGTCAGGGGAGCATCTTGGGCCCCTTACTATTCTCCTTATATACTTCAGACTTCTCATCTTTCTTAAAATTTTGTCACAGCCCCCAGTATGCAGATGACACCGAAATATATTTTTCTTTTAAACCTGAGAATATCATAAACGCCATCAAATATATCAACTCAACAGATCTCAAAACATTTGCTGAAATATCTAGAGCACATCAATTGTCATTAAATGAGACAAAAACACAACTTGTGATACTTGGAAAAAATAGAGACATGGTGATGAGAAGCCCTGAACTTAAGAATATAATTAATAATAATTAATGTTGTTGTTTTAAGGCCTTTAACTGCATGTAAGAATCTGGGTCTCACTATCGACACTCACCTGAGATTTTCTGCTCATGTTTCTAGCCTAGTTCAAAAGACATTCGGTAAACTGAAACTTCTATATATGCATAGGGATATCTTCAACACTGACTCGATGTTGAGATTATGCGATTCCTTGTTGCTGTCTCATCTAAGTTACTGTGATGTAGTGTACTGGCCTGCCTTGACCCAACGGAATAGGTCCACCTTGCACTTCTCTATGGTTCCTCTATAACGGTGGTTCCCAACCTTGAGAGAAGCGCGGACCAATTTTGCCATATCAGGATTTGCGCGGACCACCAGTGGCGTACCTAGACTGGAACCTTGGGGAGAGGGAGAGCGATATAAAAATGAAGGAGACTCGCCCTAGGCGCCGCCGAAGTTAGAATTGTTTTTCTATTGCCACGCTACCATCAAAAACGTCCATTTCAACTTTTTTGAGCCTCAAAACAGTTCATTGAAGCGTAGTGTTTCTATTCTATTTTTTCCACAAATTGTTATAACATCGAAATATGCGTAGACGCCTTCTAGATTCTCTTGCCTGATTGTTGTATCTAAAACTCTTTGAAAACAAGCTACGCCGTCAGTCACACCAAAGGGGATACGATTAAACTGGTACTGGTGTTAAAAACGTCAGACTTTGATCTCGAGCTGATTTGTGACGTCATTACTATTTATGGAAACAATTCTAGAGAATAATCTAAAGCACTAATAATTTCAAAGATACTTTAAATACGAATATTATTAGAGCTTGATTGAAAAAAATAATAATAATACATATATACAAAATACATCAGCTCGCGGACCACTTTAAGGGCTCTCCCGGACCACCTAAGGTCCGCGGACCACGGGTTGGCGACCACTGCTCTATAATATACCCTAGAATTTTTGACTAATTGAAAGGAGGTATTTTTATGATTATAATCAGAAGGTAAGTTGTATATAGTGATTGAATTTGTCTCTCTTGTGTGTGTGTCTCGTATCCTCTCAAATAATGTCAGAAGAATAGCAGTGATCCGCTTTCTTTGATAACGTCATTAGGTCCTGTTCTTGTCTCAGAGCCTGCGACTCAAATCTGATTTTTCTACATGCTTATTTGACGTTAATATTTGATGGCTGACGTCGATTCGCGTTTGAGGCTTTTCAGAACTTTTCGAAACCTGTTACTTTGTTAGGTTCAAAAGCATTTATATACAAGAATAAGAAATGTTCTAATGGAGAAAATAGTTTGAAAAAATTCAAGGAAAGAGTTAAAATTCTGCACTCATGGTAATGAAACTGTGAACTCAATCGCTGGTTAGCTTCTTGTATTATTTCATCTGATAATATACTTGCTTTTGATCGAAGGCTTTTATATATGGCATATGAAAGATTCTTGCTTGCATTCAACAGAATAGGGTTTCTGGAGAGACCAAGCAGCGCTGTGAGTACTGTAACCGCTTTGCATGCTGAGGTTCCGGGTTCTGGTTCTGGCTAGGGTTATGGATGGGTGTGAAAATAATAAAAAAATCGATGTTCTTGAAATATCGATTGACTTTTTCATCGATCCAAAACCAGTAGGTGAGCAGCAAAAGCCTTTGCAAACAAAAAGTTTTCAAAAAAAAAAAAATCACATCTGGAAAACGATCGAGTCCTATAAAGAGAGGTGAATAACTTCAAACTTCAATATCTTGATCTCCCCTTTTCATTGCAATTAAAATACATCGAAAGTTAATTGGGCGCAAACTAATGCCAGTCTAATCAGCTTACACGTTGCCGGCGTCTACTGTGGCAAGAAAATGCCACGTGGGCGTAATCTACATCTGCCAGCCACCACCGCCCGACAATGTAAATTTATCCAATTTAATTTAGCGTATCAGCTAAATGGCTAGAAATAGTGCGGCTCTAATTACAAGCCAGGAATAATAGAGGCTCATTTTAAGGGGTTTAGCTATAGCCGAACAATAATTAAGTAATGGACTAATTATTGACTAATAATTTTCAATAGAATTGTTTTTATTTCTTTTCAGGATCCTAAGGATTATAACGGCAACTACGATCCTAGCAACGACATGCTCGGTTTTACCTTCATGTAAAAAAAACGAGTTCCAATGTCTAAGTGGTCGTTGTATAGGACTGCATAAGTTCTGTAATGGAGTTTCGGATTGTGAGGATGGCACCGATGAAAAACCAGCTTGTACATGTAAGTGAAACTTAAAAATAATAATCACGTTACACTTAATATTTTTCAACTTTTTTCTTAAACCTGTCTGCGAGTTTTTATGAAGTAATGTCGCAACAAAGGCCTCAGTGTTTAAACACGAACACGTTCGTCGAGAGGCTCTTTCAGCATAATAAATACTTAACAAACTTCATGTCTTCATATAATGGCGCCGGTTTTATAGTTTTCGTGTTCTCTTCCGTTAAAAACGGTCGCCATTTCACGTCTCGTACCTTTTACGAGTCGGTTCAAAATTATTTCTATTCAGTAATTTCATAGCCTACTAGCTGCTTGACAAAATAAGTATAAAACAAAATAAGGCTCTATTGGTCAACAAATATACCAGAGAGAGCTTTAAGTCTTTGAGTAATAAAATGGATCACTTAAATTGGAAATATTGAAAGTCCATATATATGAAATGATGAATAAATAAAGTAGTTACCCGTTTTGTTACACTATTTCACACTATCAAGAGCAAACGATAAAAACTGGAGATTAGAACTAATCTAAGTTAAAGATTACAATCAGGAAGTATCACGAGGTTCCTAACCCTAAATATGAAGTACCGAAAAGAGCTTTGAGTCTATGAGTATAGTAAAATAAAAATGATGTACTAAAAAATATCAATTTATATTCTGTTAGAGTGTCGCTTTTGGCACATTCCGATAATTTAGCCCATATATCGTAAGACACTTAACTTTTTCCGACTCAAAATGGCCTCAATTTATCGTCGAAAAGCCAACAACTATACATTTTGGGGGCAAGCGTCTTTAGTGCCTGCTCGATTTAAATGGGGCCAAACTAAGAGCGCTTTTTCAGGTTTACCCAGCACTGGCACGTAATATTCGTATATTCGCGCAAAGTTTTATGGTCCCAACTTAGGTTAACTTAGGAGCAGCGGGCCTCCGTTTATTTATGCTCGCTCCATTCTCGACTCGTTTTATTCGTAGAAAAACCAAGTCTGGGAAACGAAAAGAGAGAAATTTTTATTATTAGCTTGAAAAGCAAAGGGAATCGCTGGTATTTATTTGCGTTGAAGTTACCACATTTTTACCTACATTTTGAATAAAGTTTAAGTACTAGGCTCCCTTTAATAAATCCTTATCGCTGCATATGTCTAGCACAAAACTTTTTAGCAAGCGCAAAGTTTTCAATGATGCTGCTCAAAGTTTCTTTAGAAACACGTAAATTTGCTTTTGTAATGATAAGGAGTACAGAGAAGAACTCTTTGACAGAGTCAATAGTAAAGAAATTTCACAAAAATATAGTTTCTAGCGCTCTCTATATACTTTATGCCGTTTCGTGCGGAAAATTCTACTTTATTAAAAAGTTTTTGGCAGATATTTTATTGTATATGAACAAGAATAAGTTTTAGAGTTTATGGAAATCTATCAAGTTTCATCTGCAAGTAGGATTCAGAAAATATCAATGCAATATTTAACATAAAATAAATTATTTGTAAATAATATAAATTCAAATATAAAATACAAACAACTCTATAAGTACAAGGTTGATTGACTTCTAATGGAAACAGAAAGATGTTGTTGAATCTCTCTGCTCTCACTAATAACGGAGCTCTATTTTAATGTTGATGGAAGATCAAGCAGGCAATTTCCAATATTTAGGAGATAGTTAAAGGTAATATTTCCTCCTGGAAACACTCAATTTTACTTACTGGACATTCACACGACAATAGCAAAATTAGACAAATTTGAGGGAAGTTATGATATGTAAAATAAACGAAAAATTTGTGAAACGTCTAATTTATTATCAAAGAAAACCGTACCGTTCTCAACCTGGAACTCACGAGGGGAAAGAGCACGGCAGAGAAACCCTCGATCTAAATTCCTTAAAAATCAAAACATACTATGTCATTTTAATAAAAATTGTGAGTCAATAATAATTTAAATTAGGTACCGTCCCTGTCCTAGTGCTAAAATTTTAATTCCATACACTACATTCAATCAACATCACCTATATTCAATACTGGATAGTTTTTGGCTAGTTCGCCAGTTTCACCAGCAGGTACTGAGGTCCCGTACGGGAGGCTACTCAGCTATAGTTGTTATTTTGAGCCAATATCTCCAGATTGATTTTTCAATTTGTTTGCTAGGATATTCGCACGTCAGGGGAGGAAAGTGTCAGTAGATTCAACAAGGCCCTAATGCACGTCCTGAATACCAAAAAATAAAATCCCAGCACAAAAGACAGTACATAATTTTTCTAAGTTTTAATTAACCTTTTTTTTATCTGCGTTGTTTACAACATAAAACGATTTTTGTTAAATACATGAACCATGCACATGTTATAAAAAAATGTTGTAAACAAACAAAAAAACATAAAAATGAAAAAAATAATACTTGTATAAATTGAACTCTCAAAAACCAAGTAACATTTATTCAACTTGTAGTATAACATACCCGGATTCGTTCAGTAAGATTGAACGATGAGAATTTTTATTACCTTTTAAGAAGAAATCTTCTGAAAAACGAAATGAAAAACTAATAGGACCTACGTTGTGGAAACTTACTCAGTTTTACTTACTGGACATGTGCCCGACATAGCAAATATTTGGGAAATTTAAGGGCAGATGTAAAAGAAACGAAAAATTTGTGAAACGTCTACTAGCTCCTTTATTAAAGTAGATCGTGCCGTTCTCATCCTGAAACTAACGAGGGGAACGAACACGGCAGAGAAACCCTCGATCTACATTCCTCAAAAATCGAAACATACTGTGTCATTTTAATAATAATTGTGAGTCATTAATTCAATAAAAGTTGAAACTAGGTACCGACCCTGTTCTTGTGCTAAAATTTTAATTACACACACTACATTCAATCAACACTACCTATATTTAATACTGAAGAGTTTTTGGTTAGTTAGCCCATCTGTGGCAGGTACTGAGATCCCTGGTTACGGTAACTCACAGCTATAGTTGTTTTTGAGCCAATATCTCTAGATTGATTATTTCAATTTGTTAGGATATTCTCTCGGCAGGGTAAGAAAAGGTTAGTAAATTCAACAAGGCCCTAATACACGCTCTGAATACACAAAATCGAAATCTCAGCACAAAAAGACAGCACATAATTTCTTAGGTTTTAATTTACTTCTGTATCGGTGTTGTTTACAGCATGAAACGATTTTTGTTAAATACATGAACAATGCACATGTTATAAAAGAAGTTAGAAACAAACAAAAAAAATTACATAAAAATGAAAAAATGATACTTGTATAAATTGAACTCTCACAAACAAAATAATAATTATCTAACTGACCTGGTGATCGTTCCTTGACACACACTAATAACAAATTGGATTGAACAATCAGTTTATTGCAAAATAAAAATAAAAATTGAACAATAAATAATTACAGACACGCGTTTAAGGGAATCAGCCCAGCTTGTTCTTGAGTCTCTCTAATGCCTAATCGCCTCTTCTCTACCTCCCGTTCGATTCGGTACCCTTTCAGTAGGCTTCACGGCGCATACAAGGTTACAACATTCAGTAAATCAAAAAAGATGGCGTCCGATGATGACATTGAGTCAGATTCGGCTAGCGTAAATAGCGTTATTAGTGCCAAAGATAGTGTTAGAAAATACAAATGTTGTGCTAAAAAGTCGTGCAAGTCCTATTTTTGTGTTGTGTGTGAAGAAGTTTACCATGGTAGCTGTGCAAGAAGGAAAAACTTAAAGTTTATCAGCAAGTCCGGTGTCCGGTGCTGTGATTGCAGTGATTTGCCGCCAAAAGTTGACTTATCAGATGTAAACAAAGATGTTTCCTCAAAACTAAAATATGAAAACGACAAATTAAATACTGAAATGAGTCTACTAAAAAGGCTTATCGATGAAATGGCCGATAAGAACACAGTTTTGAAGGAAAATAACCGTCTTTTGGTGGAACGTATCTCTAACCTAGAAAAAGAACGTAAACAAAGCCAAACTGTAACTGTAAGCCGCGATCCTGCAGGCGGGCGTTCTACCAGTTCTACTTACTCGACCTCTGGCCCTGGTGTAACCCAAGAGCGTTCGGTGACTCCAAACCCGAACAAGACTGGTGACACTTGCGCCGGGACCCGGGGCGAGACCTTAACCTCTAACGACAATGTAAACAATGGCCATAGTAGTAAAATTGTTGAAACAGTTTCGCTGACAAACGCGAATCAGGCAATTAATAATGCAATTATAAGCAATATGAATCATGCTGGAGACAACGATGGTTTTTCTACAGTTAGTTATCATCGTGGTAGAAGGAAACAATTTCGTGGTACCTCAAAGGTTGAAATAAATCAAGAATTTATATCTTCAAAAGGAAACAAGATGTGGTTTTACGTCGGAAAGGTGGCCCAGTCAGTGGAAGCTGCTAAAATTCGCAGGTACATAACTCAAAAACTGCCAAATATTAGTGAGGAAAACTTAATTATTGATCAGCTTAAAACTATAGAGAAAACCAATTCTTTCAAAATTGGTGTCATTCCCATTCACTACAATGCTATGAACTCCTGCGAATTCTGGCCTAGTGGTGTGATCTTTCGTAGATTCAACTCCAAGAAAAAACTTGACACATCAAAAAATGACCCTGGTGCTGATTTTCATTCGCCCCAGAATTTTCAGAATCTAGCCGTCAATCAGGAGGTATTTGCAAACTAAATAGTTCTGTATCAGTCTACTATCAGAACGTGCGTGGTTTGCGTACTAAATTGGTAAAACTAATCAGTTCCATTCCTTTAGTTGCATACCAAGTACTCGTTTTTACAGAAACGTGGTTGAGTGATAACTTTCTTGATGTAGAACTGGGCATGGACAATTACAATATTTACAGAAGTGACCGAACTCCAGCAACAAGCACATCCTTAAGGGGGGGAGGTGTATTAATAGCTGTCCGGAATAACATTCTCAGTTCCATTTGTGATTCAGCCTCAACCATTGAGCAGTTATTTGTAAGAGTGCAGTCTGCTAATAGTAAACTATTGCTTGGAGCTGTATA